ATACCAGCCAACTGTGCCATTGTTGCCACTGCGATGTCTTGTTTCTCCAGCTTAAGAGTACTATGAACCTTGTTTGGGCCCTGGAGTATTGGAGAAAAGACTGAAACTTGTCTGTTTAGAAACCCATAGTAGGGCATTTTCTTAACTTTATCATGCCTTCAGGAATCAAGTCAAGGAAATGAAAAAGACTCAGGTGTCAACAACAACAACAACAAATCCTTCACCCATTGTAGCATTCCGCATTCCCCTCCCAGTAGCATTTCCTTCTTCCTTCACATTAACATCTTAATCCCCATGACAAGTCATTGTCTGGAGGGATGTGGAAACAAAACTGATAATATGAACTTCTGGGAGATTTTTGTCCTCAGAGACCCATCTAGGGCTCTTTGGGGCCTCTTGGCATCTACCTCTACCAGCCACAGATCCATAGTAACTGGCCAAATAGATTGAGATTCTCCACATCTTGGCACCAAGATTATGGCTTTGGTCTTCACTGAAAATCAGCATCAATAGATAAGATGCAAAGTTACTTAAGTTCTACATAGCAACTAGGATAAATATAGTTATCTTCAGGGAGATGTCTATTATCTATTGCTGCCTAACAAGTTACTCTAGAATTGAGCATCTTGAGACAGCAAATATTTATTATGTCTCCATTTCTGTGGGTTAGGAATGTGGAAACAGCTTAGCTGGGTGGTTCTGGCATAGGTCTTTTGTGAAGTTGCAGTAGGCTGTCAGCCAGTGCTATAGTCATCTGACACTGCGGGATCCTCTTCCAAATGCACTCACATGGCTTTGGCAGACCACAGGTCCTCTTGGCTGCTATCTGGGTACTTTAGTACCTCACCATGTGGGCTTCTCCATAGGCTATCTGAGTGCCTTTATGGCATGGCAGTTGGCTTCCCCAAGGGTGAGCCATTCCAGAAAGAGATATCACACCCAAGATGGAAGCCACAGTCTTTTTATACCTTAATCTCAGAAGTGGCACGTCATCACTTCTATCATATTTCATTTGTTAGAAGGAAGTCTCTCAATCCAGCCCACACTGAAGGAGAGAGGAGTACATCTCCACTTCTTGAAAGGAGGAAATGAACAAAGAATTTGTGGATGTATTTTTAAAAACCCTATAGGGTGGTTTTAATCTCCAAAAGTCAATATGACACAATAGTTAAGAGCACAAATTTGAGAATCATAAAGACCTACATTTAATTCTGGCTCCCACATTTGCTATTTATGCAAGTTTAGGCAAGTCATTTAACCTTTCTGTATCTCAATTTTCTAATCTATAAGAGTCTAGTCTAAGAATAGCAGATGTTTCATTGGGTTGCTTTGAGAATTAAATAAGATCATGCATGTAAATTGCCTGGCAAAGAATAAGTACTACATAAATATTACTTAATTGCTATTTCAATGGGATGATATTGTCCTCCTTTCTAGAAGACAGTATAATATAGAGGTTAAGAACACAGTTTCTGGAGTCAGGCTATCTGGTTTGGGACTTTGGCTCTGCCACATTAGCTGTAAGAACTAGGGCAAGTCACTTAACTCTCTTGCCCTTGGTTTTCTGTAAAATGAAAATAATAATAGCTAGTGCCTGGCCATCTAATAGGTATTCAATAAATATGTGATGATTAAGGAAATAGCAGATGATAGAGTGTTGTAATGACAAAGGAGTGTCTGTATATGTGTGTGTGCACATGCATGTTAAGGATGCCATACAAAGCACATGTTACTTCAAACACCTGCTGTTTAACTGGGGAGCCAAGGGGAGCTGCCCCAGTGTTTTTTGAGTGTGCCTTTGTACCCTTGAGCATGTTAGCCTACATGAGCTCTTTAGCTGTTCCATCTCTTATGAGTTGTTCTTGGTATCATTGTTTGCATTCTGTTCCACCCTGGCTTTGTTCAAGCATACTTTCTTCTTCATCTGTGCCGCCTCCACCAAGAATACGTTTAATTGGCTTTGCACAGAGTCTGGAGATTTGGTGACAGGAAGGGGTGGGGTAGTCATCACCTCAGAGCTGCTACATTACCTTAAATTGATTTTGCAAATGAAAGCTAAAAGCTAAGCAAAGGCGACCCATCCATTTTGCCTGAAGATGATTATAATGCTCTTTTACGGCCTTCTAAATGACAAAGCAATTTGTTACCTGCCTACATCAACATTTGCTTATATTAGCACCCGAGATGCTTGATTTTTATTAGCCCCATGTTATCATTTTATGAAGACGCAAGGGCTCAGTAAAATTAGTGTGCAAATAGAATGCCCATTTTGCATTTCCCTGTGGTCAGCAGAAATGTTGAATGCAATTGACTTGATACTGGGTCAGGGGAGACATCCATAAAGTTAGCCTTCACCAAGGGCCTCCCTAGTGCCATTTATCATTTCTGGACTGCTGGGATAGATGGGGTCAGTGTTAGACAGTGTTTTTTAAAAGGGCTTGGTGATTTTTTTTTAAGTGAAAAAGCGATATAAATACTAAGACAGCAGCTCAATTTCCATCATAATAAGATAAAATCAAGCTCTCTTGTGTAAATTGTAGATGGAAATGCAGTAGAAGGGGGATCTTATATTGTTATTAGTGGATCCAGAATGAAACAGGGTAGTGAAAGGGCCACTGGCTGGGTGCTGGGACTTAACTCTACCACTGCTAGCTGAATGACCTTCAGCATGTCCCTTCCTTCTGTGAGCCTCATTTCCTCACCCATAAAATAGAATTAATACTGTCCACCTCACAGAGGCATGATAAAGATTAAATAACATAATATGAGCCTATATTTCTTTAAAAACCATCATCTACACAAGTATTTTTGTTTATTAATTCAATAGTCAGTCCTTGAGCACCTACTCCCTGCAGGGTCCTGGGAAAGACATTAGCCATACACCCATGGAAGTCGCAGTTTTTTCCTTGAGGAGCTTATATTCAGTCCAGGGAATGTTTAGGTGTCGAATTCCTCTTTAAATAATAAACTTCTTCAGGGCAGGTGAGCCTTCTCTCTCTCCCTTTGTTCCTAAAGGTGCCTAGCACAGAGCTGAGCAGAGTGAGTTCTCAAGACTATATTTTGGTTCCATGATATTTCTTGCTGCATTTCAGGGGAAGCAGTGACTCCACCCATACTGATCATCCCAATGGACAAGCAAGTCCCAAGCCTTTAGAACCAGATTTAATAGGGTTAATATTTTTAGTTTCATCTCTGACATTGGTTCATTGACTGTTGGGATAAAGAACCACGTTCAAAATAGCATGTCTCCAGCATTTCAGAAGGAGAAAGCCTATTAATTATTTCTATTCTCTCCCTCCAGATTGTCCTCAAACATTGATAAAATCCTTCAGTTCAACCTCTCTCAATGTTCCTTTCTAAGTTTCCTTCAGGTAATTGTTGTGTTCTGTATCAATCAGCCCTTCTTCTGCCCACTGCTGAGTATCCTTCCCTAGACGTTTCTTACTGGGAATGCCACCCTTGGCTGTTGCTTTTGTCTGATGATATCTTTGCACAATAGTTCAACTTTATTATACAAATTAGACTTCTGTAGAGACAGAAAGAGCTTGAGTTCTGATTTGGAGCCACATTTTCCTACTTTTCTGCATGTCTAATAATTTTTTATTGGATGCTGGATATTGCAAATTACACATTGCTTTAACTGTCTGGATTTTGTTGTCTTCCTTGAAAGAGAGTTGGACTTTGAACAGCAAGAATTTAAGTTTCTTTTGTTCAGTTTGATCCTTCCGAGACTTGTTTTAAAGCTTTGTCAGTGTGGTGGTCTAGAGTAGTTTATCCCTACCACTAAGACATTGCCTATCTGAATTCTCATTCTCCTTAGATGATCAGTGAGGACTTCCTCTTTAGCTGTGGGAATTCAAACGATTCTTAGCCCTGTGTGACCCCTAAGGACTGTGCAGTTCACAGCTCCCTGGTCATTTTTTCCTGACATCGTGGAGAGTCACCCTATGTATGCACATCTTAGAATCCAACAAAGAATCAAGAGGACTCCTGTACAAATTTCTGGAACTCTTTTCCTGCAGAGCTTCCTCGTCTCTGGTGCTCCCAGAGTTTCCCAGCTACTACCTGTTGAACTTGAATCTCAGTGAGGCTTCTATGCTTTGCTCAGGAATAACTCCCTGCTCTTTAGTCTAGAAGGGATCATCAGGCAAAAAGTCAGGGCAATTGTAGGGCATATCTCATTTATTTTCCTTCTCTCATTGATTATTTTGCATTGGCCTTGTTCAATGTCTGAAAATACTTGTGATGAATATTTTGTCCAGTTTTCTAGTTGTTTAAGATAAAAGGGAAATGAAGGCCAGACAAGGGATTGGGCTCTAATCTCAGCTCCTACCACCACTTTTCAGCTGTGTGACCTTGAATAAGTTATATAACCTCCATGAGCCTCAGTTTCTGCCTCTATTAAAAAAACACATTAACAGCGTGTTCCTGTAAGGATTATATATGTATATAATGTGCCAACACAAAAGGAGCTAATTAAATGGCAGATGCTACTATTACTAATATATAAATAGCCACCTTCTCTACTCCGTCATTTGCTGAATGTTTACTGTGTACTATGCAATGTGTAAGCCTGTTTAATCATCACAACAACCCTATTAAAATCCTTGTTTATAATCTATAAACAAGGATATATTGTCATCCTTGTTTGTAGATTAGAAAATGGAAACTTAGAAAGGATACACAAGTTGCCTAAGGTCACAGTCAATGGATTTGGGATTCAACTTCACTCATGTGGCTTCCTTGGATGATTGTAAATAGTACATATTAATATAATATGATCAGTTGCACCAAAGAAAGGGAATGCAGTCTTTTAATATTGGGTAGGGACATAATTAAATTAGTCAGCAATGGCTGGACTTAATGATTCTAACCCAATGATTTAAGAGATAAATGTTAAGCATCCAGCCCATTCCCTCTGGGGTTCCCTGCCACACACCAACCACTAGACTCAGCTTTCCTTGCCCTCATTAGCAACCATCTTTCATTTTATCTTACAGACAATCTCCGGGAAGGGGCAGAGCAGAAGGTGGTATTCATCACAGGTCGAGTCCACCCAGGGGAAACACCCTCATCATTCGTGTGCCAAGGTGAGTGGCAGGATCTCATAGGTGTCCTATGCCTATACCCACATCCAACTGGGACACTGTGATGATCTCTGGGACAGTGTGACCACATGCAGAACCATTTTATGATTAAATGGAAATTTAATGCATTTCTTTAAAGAGGTTGTACCTGATTTCCATTAGGTTGTATTTCAATAAATGTTTATTGACTAGATGTATGTATGAATTAATTAATTAATTAATGGATAGATGGATGGATGGATAAATGAACAGGGAGGGCTGAATGAAGTTATCTTGTGAAGTTATCTTATATGTGCTGTGGTGAGGAAGAGCCATACAGAATCATCTACACTCCCTAGCTTTACTTGTCTCCAGTGGTTTACAACAGCAAGAAATCTGGCCCTAAATCAATGTGTATGTTGGCAGAAGGGCTGTGAAATGGGAGGTAATGACTGAGAACTATCTCTTCACTCATTCATTCAATCATTCACTGAAACAACTTTTGAAATACCTGCCAAGAGTAAGCACACTTGGCATCAGACAACCAGAGGCAAGTAAGTCATAGTTTTTATTCTCAAGTGTTCCTCTTTATAATTGCACTCTTATTATTAAATATTTCATTCATACTATATTTAATTAGTCAGCTATAGTCAGCAATATATATGTATATTGTTGGGCAAGCTGAAGTTTAGAGAAGTTAAGTAATTTATCTCATTTTAATCTCAAAGTGACCATGAGGTCAAAGAGATATGAAACGCCTGTGGAGGTTCTATAACTCAAGGGAGGTAGCACACTGCAGTGGAAGCCTCTGAGGATTTGAAATCAGGCAATCTTGAGGTCAGGTATCGGCTGTGCCACTTTCCAGCACTGTGACTTCAGTTTCCTCAAATGTAAAACAATACTACCCAGGCAGGTTGTTATGAAGCTGGCATGAGATGAACGTAAACAGCATACCCAGTCCTGTGCCTGGCACACAGCAGGCACTCAGCAGATGTTACCTCCTTCCCCGTGGGAATCTGAGAAGATGAAGCAGGTAATCTGCTTAGTAAACTATCAAGCACTGTGCAAATAAATATGGGCTTTATTTTCCCAGTTCGTATTCTTACAATGCTTTAGTTAGGCACGATTGCCTTCCTATTTTTTTCAGATGAGGAAACGGAGTTTCAGGGAGGCAGTGACTTGCCCAAAGCCAAGCAGCTTGTAAGATGCATGGCTGAGGCTCCAGTCGCTACAGCCGACTCCTTAGCATTCTCACTTTGGCCTTCCTCCTCCCCAGCATTGTCCTTGCAGTAACCCTTGAGGTCCCTCCTGGGTTTACCAACCCCTTTACTTGCAGCCATCTGTCAGTTACTAAACTTGGCAGCAGATCTCTTCCCCCAGCTGATTGGATGTAACTGCTTTGTCCTTGTTTGTAAAAAGACAGTAGACTTACCATCAATATGTTCATCTCTAGGAGCCCAGACCCCGTGCTTACCTCTCCTGTGGGCAGTAGACAGAGAGCATGGTTGCCATCCCTTTTCACAGATAAGGACTGAGGCACGGAGGAATTGAATGGATCTCAGGTGCTCTCTGATGACCCTGTTTACTAAAAGGGAATCTTTGGGTGGTGCTGAGTTAATACACTCAATGGCGTTCTGTAGGTTTTCAATAAATGTCTATTCCTTGACAGAGTCTTTCAATGCCTACCTGCTGGCTTCTCAAAATAAACTCCAACTCCCTCGCATGATATTCCCAGCCCTCTGACATCTGGCTCTCACCTGGTTCTCTGGCCTCAGCCTCAAACACTCAGCTCCACACAGCTGAAACCTTGAGTGAGCAGTCTTCTCTTGACCAGTGCACCTTTACACCTGCTGCTCCCTCTGCCTAGCAGGCCCTACACCTGCTCCTTGCCACCTGGCAAGCCCCGTCCATCTCACAGGGTTCATTTTAAGTGCCCCCACTGTGGGCTCCCCTGGTCCACTCCCTCTTGCCACCTGTGTTGTGCCTGCATTGTGGATCTAAAGACGGCCATCATCTTTATTGATAATGGTCATCTCTATTGCCCTGATTTATTATCGTATACTTGACTTATATTTGTTTTTCCCCCTTTAAACCACAAGCTGTATAAGGTCTAGGACTGGTCTCCAACTGTCATTTTCCACATCTGTCAAATGAGGTTATCTTGTTCATCTTATGGGGCTGTTGTGAGGAACAAATGCTGTGTTGAACTCACAAAGAGCAGCCTCAAGGTTACACAGTCATTAAATAGTGGAGTGGGGCTTTTAATCTAGGTCTAGCTAACTCCCAAGGGTGTACATGCTCCCTTGTCCCACTCAGGGATGGGAACTACTAGAAGGTGAAGTCTTGTACCTGAAAAAACTCAGAGTTCTGACCACCCCACAACAATTGATGTGCATTTTACAGATCGGGATATGGAGCCTCAGGGAAGTACAATGGCTTACCCAAAGTCACATGACTAATTCACCATAAGTGTGGTTCTGGAGTCCATCTCCCCAGTCCTGTTTGTCATCTTTCCCTGCCTCTGTATCGGCCCCATGAGACACACAATTCATACTTCCTTGAGGCAATGTAAGAGGCATCATTACCCCACTTTACTAATGCAGGACTGAGGCATGGTCTTTCCTGAGGGTGTCTCAGCTACATGTAGACAGCCCGATCACAGCCCCACAGGGCACAGCTGGGGGTTTCTTCCTCAGTCATAGCCCTAAACTTGTCCATCATCCCTCAGCCCCCATCAGCCCACCTTCTTCTGGGGATAGCAGGCAGGTCCAAGGTGTGGACAGATGCTGAGATACCTTCAGTTCTGTTAACTCTTCCACATTAACTGGCTCAGTGACCTTGAGCAGGGAACAGGCATGTGAGGCCAGTTGTGACAATCTGGCTGGGACCACGATTCTTGCCGCCGAGCTGCTGATGCATGTGCTGCTGGGAGTAGAGTGAAGTCCTATCGCCACATAGCTCTAGAAGGGGTGGCAGTAAGGGTGGCAGGGCTTGGATTCCTCAAGACTCTGCTTGTTGGTGGGATGCTTACTCTGCTACCCCAAACGCTGCTCATGACCTCTGTGAGGCCAAACTATCCTGTTCTCCAGTGACCATGGGAGAGGTCAGAGGAGCTCCTGTGTGGCCCTGTGGCCAGTCATGTGAGAGCGCCATCCCTCAAGCTGCTACACTGCTAAGCATGAATCGCAGCTCCTCCCCTTACTACAGTGTAACCTTGGGAAAACCAGAAAATCTCCTTATGCCTCAGTTCTTTTATCTCAAAAGGGAAATAATAATAGAAATCCTGCCTCACAGGGTTGTTGTGAAGACTGACACAGTTCATATCCATCGAGCATTTAGGATGGTGTCTGGAATAGAGAAAGCACTAAATAAGTTCCAGTAGTAGGGGAGGAGCTAGCACTAATGGAGCGCGTGGCCGGTGCCAGGGCCTCCGTGAGGCACTTTGTACGTGGTTCCTCTAATCCTTCTCTGAACCAAACCCAGGTGTGGGCCTCCCAGACTGTGGGCCTCAGCTCTTCCTCGTCACCTTCCTGAGAGTGCCACTAGCTGAGCTCTGCTCACCTGGAGGGTCACCTTGCAAGCCAGGAGCTTGGCCTGAACCAGACCTAGACCTTGTTGACCTTGTTTCTGACTCCTGGTCAAGTGTATGCTCTTTCACTGACTCTTCCTGGGACTTTGGGGCCAACTTTCATTGAAAATTTCCATCTGCAGAGTACTTTGTCCTCTCCAGACCCTTTATGAATTAATGAAACCAGCACTTATGAAATGCTACTGTGGGGAGCCACGCCACACTCTGGAGGGCAGCAGGGGAAGTGGGCACAGCTGTGGCTTTGGAGTTTGATAGGCCTGAGTTTGAGCCTACCAATTCCATCTAGCTAGGGGACTTTTCTAAGTCCTTGCCTCTCATAGCCCCTATTTCCTGACCTGCAAAATGGGGACAGCAATGTCTTTCTCAAGGGGCTGCTTGAGAGAGTTTCATGAGATCGTGTAGGTCAGTGGTGGGTCAGCACCAGGCACAGATAGGTGCCTGACCAGTACCCACACACCCCTTTTCACCTTCGCTCTTCCACAGAACTTCCACCAGGTCACTAGGCAGCTCTCAGCTCTTATTCTCAGAACAGTCCAGGGATTCACTGGATGTCACCTGGTAAGTTGGTGGTGGAGTGGGGACTAGATCCAGATCGCCTGCCTCCCAGCCTGAGCCCTGCTGCTACATGCCAAGGTGCCCATCAGGGCCTAGACTATGGAGACAAAGAGCTGGCCCTCTCCCAGGAAGTTCACTCCTCAGGGTTATTTTGTGGGAGTAAGAGGAGGAAGGAGGATTGTGCACACACACACACACACACACACAGACACAGACACATGCACACACCATGCTCTCATAACTACCAATATCTCCAGACACCGGGACCAAGCACAGCTTCGTACTTCCTGTAAATGAGGTAGTGACCTTTGCTCCTCCCCCATTCTGCTTTCCTCCCACCTCTCTTCTTCACCTGTTCTTCCTCTTCTCCTCAATATCCCAAACAGCTTCCCACTATAGGTGTGGTGCTAGATCCACTAAGGGTTTGTGATGGGGCCTTTCACTTTTCTAGGCTTCTGTCTCTTCATCTGTGAAATGGGCAGAGTTGGGAGCAGGAGGGTGAGGACTTATACTCTGTGAACTTTAGGGTCATCAGGGGCAGACTCCCTGTGAGTCCATAATTCGAGGCCCTTGGACTCAGCTGAGGGCAGACAGGGGTCCTGTGCCAAGTCAAGGGAGGGCCTAGAGTGGCTGCTGTTGTGCACATCACACACTGGGCCAAGCAGAGACCTCAAACCGTCTTGCATCAAACCTTGGCTCTTCCCACTACAGTATGCTGCCTCTGAACAGATAACAGAAACAGTACATTTTGCACAGAATTCTCTAGAGAGAAAATCATGCAGGCATATGCAAATTATTCCACAAATCACATGCAAATAGACTCCTTGCTCTTTGCATCTTGTCTTCATGGACAGAGCACTGCTCTGAAGCCGGCAGAACTGGGTCTGAATCCCAACTAGGTTCCTGTGAGGCACTCAGCAAGTGATGCCACACCCTGACTTTCTTTCCCAGTCTGTGAAATGGAGCCAATAGAATTACAAGTCAGTCCGGCTAATGAATGTACAGTAGTTAGTCATGGGTCGATCTTTATTCACTCACTTCATACATAGGTCTTGAGTACTTTCCCTGTGCCAGGCACTGAGCTGGGCACTAAAAATACAGTGGCAAAGAAAGGAGACCTGTTTCTGCTGTCTTGGAGCTCATGGCCTGGAGGGAAGACAGACTTAAATCACAGTGTAAGTTGAAGTAAGCCTCAATCCCGAAAGAGAAGTGCAGGAAATGTAACTTTCTTCTTTTTCTATAACTGAATTCAGTTTCTATTTTGAGGCCCCTTCCTGCCAGGGGCCAGAAACTTAAACTCATTTATGTTCCTCAAGATTGGGTGCTTTCAGCAAAGAGTTCTGATGCTCTCAGGGTAGCAGGCAAATCATCGTATCATTGGTAGCACCATCTATCCACACTGTTTGCTTTCCACCCACTGCACCTCATGACTCTCTGGGCCTTGGCTGCTGCAGAGCCCCTGCAGGTCACTACCATGTTCCACCCTGGTTCCTGACAGAAAGCTGCTTTACCTCTGCCAGCTCTCTCTGTTATGCCTGCACCCTACCTCCACCTCTGTCCTGCCTTCAGGAGGCCCTGCCCTGCAGTATTCCTTGCCTCTAAGCAGCATTCCACGCTGCAGCCAGATGGAGCTCTCCAAAGCCCATATCTGACCCAGGCTGAAAACCTGGCAATAGCTCTATAGTCCCCTTCAGGTTTTTTCAGCTGGAACAGCAAATCCTTGTTCATCTCTCCATTCCCATGCCTACAGCAAGCCAACAAAGAGCAATGATGAAAACAATGCATGTATACATTTACTGTGTACCACTTTGCTTATATCATCTCATGTAAATCCTCATAAGAATCCAGAAGTAATTCTTATTCTCCCCTTTGTAATTGATAAGGAACCTGGGGAACTGGGACGTTAAGGCCATACAGCAAATGAGTGGCAGAGAGAGGCGTCAAACTCAGATGATCCAGTTTCAGAGTCTGTGCTTTTGACCATGAAGCCAAGGCCCTGGAATTGAAAAGCTTTTCGTTACTGACAGACCATCTCTTTTCTTACCCCGGCCTGGATACTTTCCCCTGGCACCCCTTTCTTTTTATTTTATTTTTAAATTTTAGATTCAGGGGATACATTAGCAGGCTTGTTACGTGGGTAAATAGTGTGATGCTGAAGTTTGGATTTCTAATGATCCCATCACCCAAGCAGTGAACATAGTACCTGATAGGTAGCTTTTCAGCCCTTGCCTCTTCCCTCCTGCCCCTCTTTATGAATCCCGGGTTTATGGCTCCCTTGGTGTCCATGTGCACCCCACGTGTAGCTCCCACTTATAAGTGAGAACATGCAGTATTTGGTTTTCTGTTTCTGTGTTAATTCACGTAGGATAATGGCCTCCAGCTGCATCCATGTCGCTGAAAAGGACATGATTTTATTCTTTTTATGGATGCATCCTGGCGCCTCTTTCATCTGGCTCCACTCTACTCATTTTTTAAGTCCCCTTTCCAGGCCTCTTCTGGGGCCCCAGGCCCCTGCTGGGTCCCCACAGCTATGTGCTGTTCCCATCAGAGCCTTTACCAGTCAGTGGGGAGTTGCTTCCTTACTGTGCACCCCTCTGAGGCAGGACCATCTTAGGCATCTTGAAATGCCCAGAATTTGGTGTGCCAATGAATGTCTGTAGAATGAAATGAGTGATGATCAGTTCAACTAATCCCACACAGTCAAAGTTGTATGAATTCCTGGAGCAATCCATCAATAGGCATTTGTAAGCACCTACTATGTGCCCAGCCCTAAACCAAACACTCTAGGAGAAAAAATTAACAATAAATATCAGCCTCAGTTGAGGTTTGACTAGAGAGGTTCATCCTGGTCTGTGGGAAGTTGGGACAGGGTAGTGATCTCTAACTTCTAGCTTTAATATCAAATCCTCTACCACTTTTCCATCTCTTCTGGCCTCTCTGGCTTCCAACCTTCCTGTCATCCTGCCTTTTCCCCAGCTTCATGATTAAATCAGCTTGAAGAAGAGGACCTGGCAAACTTGTTTACAGAAGGGGCAAAGGCTGATCTCAAGGAGGTTGATGGCGTCTTCCAGCAGGAGGGAGATTATTCTCCTCACCTGACAGATGATGCTTCTACTTTTGGTGGAGAGGAATAAAATAGATGGAATCATATGATGTCAGTGTGGGATGTATCCTTGAGAATTATTTAGTTCTTTCTCCTAATTTTAAAAATAAGCATAGACCCAGAGGCTTTCTACAGGTCACCCAGTAACTGAGCCAAAACTAGAACCCAGGCTCTGTTTTGATTTGTTGGCTTCTGCCATTCAGTATCCTTGTCTCCAAATTTCATTGTTAGTCAACTTCACAGACTAGGACTCCTACTTCTAAAACTAATCCTGTTTTTAACTACCCCTTGCCTTTCAACCTTTGATCTAAGTGAGTTTATGGAAGCATGCCACAATTTTCAGGTACTGTGTTAGGCAGCTAACACAGGATCTCTAACACAGGTACACAATAGTCTTCCAGATTAGGTATTATTATCCCTATATCAAGAAGAGAAAACTAGTCAGGGAAAGCTAGTCAGTAACTTCTCTAGCTAACACTCAGTTAAGATTTGAACTCAGGTCCCGAGACTTTCTGCTCCCCTGGTCCCTCTGCTTTCTTGGTCCATCCAGTGCTTTTGGCCCTTGGCCAAGGATGGCATTTTCTCTCCACTCTTACATGCCCTCACAGTCTTCCTCATACTCCTCTCCCACCACAAAAAAAATAATAATAATAAATAAAAAAGTAAAAGAAAAGAAAGATCTCCTTATTTCCTGATGAATGGAAATGATTTTGAATTGTATCTGACCTCAAACCAACAGATGAGTCTAAAACCTCCCCTCTCCTTGCCCCACACCCACCCTAGGAGAGGGAGCTCTGGGCAGCTGCAGCCTCTGGTCTGCCTTTGTTTTCTCTCATTCTTTTATTAGCTGCCTAATTGGCAGCCCAATTAATCTGTTCATCTGTGAAGGAGGATGGATCACAATAAGCTACTCCATTTCCAGAAGCCATTCTCTGAGGCAGTGTGGCCAGGCCCTGAGCGTGGGCTGGCTCCTTGATGGAGGGCCACCCCGGGAGCCGGGGTCAATTAGTGGACAGATTAAGCAATTATTAGCCCCTAACAAGGGCACCTGGCATCATTACCCTGCCTGTTTACTGGCAAACTGCAGCTTTAATATGAGGACCAACAAATAAATTAGGGCATCTGGTCTACTGCCGCGTTAGCCGAGAAGTAAATGATGTCCAACTGGCTTTCGGCTGCCTATGGATTCTCAACCTTGGCCTAATGAAAAGTCTGAGATGTCCCTCACCGGTCACAGAAGCTCTGGAATGTGCTCTGGAGTGAGTTATCATTCCAAGAGCTGAGTGCCTGCACTGGGCACTTGTTCTTAGTTACCCTGCTGCCTTCCTCCTGCCATCTGTCAAAACCTACCTTTCTGACAGGGCTTAGCTCAAAGGCTTCCTTCTTGATGCCTTTCTTGCTCTCTCCAGCAGGAATGGGGCCCCACGTCTGCATTGTGGGAGGGTTTGTCATTCTCCTATCATTTTCTGGCATTATAGTAATTTCATGGAATGCTAGAGTGCCATTTTGCCCATTTTCTTTTTCAGGTATCTGATGAACGAGTAGAAACGTGGGGGAGATAAGAGAGTTATTTGCTTTCTCACCCCTCTTCTATGGGTAGATGCAGGCTGTAACCAGAAGGATATCAAGGAGGGAGTGACAGGATCAGATTCACACTTTCAGAAGATCCTTCTGGCTGCTGCGATGAGGGCTCATTTCAGAGGTGGTGGCTGTTATCCAGGCCAGGTGTGATGGTAGCCTGGGTTAGAAGACAGGCAGTGGGATGGAGAAAAGGGGAAGATTTGCTCCATTCAAGAAGGGAACATGGGGACTGCCTGGCAGTAGGAAAAATGTCATGGAGACAAATTTCTAAATTTGGTGACTGGAAGGCAGGGTGATTTTAGTGCCAGTGAGAAGCCGGGAGGGCAGTCACCCCTGGAATCCTGGAACAGAGGATCTTCAAAATGGGGAAACAAGCACATTTGGGATACATGAAAGAAACCTCCTTCTGCTCATGTGACTTTGACTGAAATGCTTTTCCTCTCTGCTTCTTGATGTGCCTATCAGCTAAATGAGCATTTAAATCCCTAAGGACCTCGACCCTGTGATTATCACATCTGATGTCAATGTTTAACTAAGTGTGCCTATTAGAAAGCATCTCTTAGTTCACTGTGTAGTGCTGGCCCACCTCTCCCCATCTCTGTCTGACGAAACTCGGTGGGCTCTCAAAGCACAGCTCAAATGTCATCATTCTCGGAAGCCCTCCCAGTTCTCTACAGCAGGAAATGCTCTTTCCCTACTGCCCATGGGCTTCAATGTTACGTCGTCAACTGTCTCTTGGAAATACAAATGTATTTGTAAATATATTTTATACAGATAACACGTAGTCTATAACCACACACCCACAGTGGCCAATAACAACACAGGCCAAAATCACCTATTGAGCTCCTCTTGTTTTCCAAGCTGAGAAAAATGTGTTTCCTTCTTCTTGAAATGCTTTGTTGTTAAACCAGACTCTTCTCTTTCCCTAGGGATCATTGACTTCCTCGTAAGCCAGCACCCTATTGCCCGTGTCCTCCGAGAATACCTGGTCTTCAAGATCGCACCAATGCTCAATCCTGATGGAGTCTACCTGGGCAATTACAGGTAAGCAACTGGGGAGAATGCTTGGAAGCAGGTAGTCATAGGATGGTGGTACGGAAGCAAGAAAAAATATGGGATATATTTTTTAAGGAAGAATTTTGAGGCTGCTCATGAGTTCATTAGAGAAAGTTTCTCGCTGGCTCTTGAGAATGTGGTTAATTAGCTTTGGCTGTTTCGTGCACAGCCACCTAAGGTCACTTGCTGGGTTTTCTGGAGAGCTCACTGGGCCAGGAATCAGGAGACCTGTTATCAGTTTTGGCATCTACTTTTTGTATAACCTTGGGGGATCCACTTTTCCCTCTCTGATGCTCAGTTCCTCTTGCATAATGGAGACAATAATTACTTACCTGAAAGGGCAGTTGTGAGAGCTTCAAAAGAAATGGTGGGAAGGAATGTGCTTTGCAGAATATCGTGTGGTAGTTATAATGATGACTCTTTTGTTGTGTTTCTTCTTGGAGAATATCGATGAAGGAGAATAGAATCCCAGGACATCTGAACAGCATTTCTCTTCAGTGTTGGCATACCAGCCAGCCTCACACTCACTCATGCACTCAAATCTTGAACTCCCTTTCTCCTGGCTTAGCACCATAATTTACAGCCTAAAATTCCACTGCCCAGAAGATTATCTGCCAAAAGAACAATGGCTCATTTGAGATAGATAGTGTTATTGCCCTTATTTTACATTAAGGTAACTGACTTGCCCAAAGTCACACAGCCCATAAATCATTGACTAACTTCACCATCCAAATTATACAGTTTTCAAGCTCTTTAGGCCCAAGACTTTCAAGATGACATTCAGACCCCCCAGCTTTGCATGCAAGGCATTGTCTGCCCTGCTGCCTGTGTGTCCACCATCTTGCCTCACCTCTTCTCCTCTCCTCCTAGAACAAGTGCTGCAGCTGCACTGAGTAAAGCCCAGTTCCCCAGACATGTCCTATTGGTTCCTGATACCTTACTTTTATACAGGCTGCCTGCTCACCAGAAACCCCTTATCCCTTCTTCATCCCATTAATTCTTTGCAACTCAGTTCATGTTCCTTATTCTGGAAAACATCCCTTTAAACCCCAAACAGAATTGGCCACTCTCTTCTCTGAGTTCTCACAGGCCTGGTTATTTATTTGTTTGTGTATTTGTTTATTTGTTTGAGACAGGGTTGTGCTCCATCGCCCAAGTTGGAGTGCAGTTGTGCAATCATGGCTCACTGCAGCCTCGACCTCCTGGATTCAAATGACCCTCCCACTGCAGCCTTCCAAGTAGCTAGGCATGAGCCACTGTAGCAAGCAGGCCTGGTTATCGAACAACTCTCGTTCCACTGCATGTCCTCCACTGTCCTTAAAGCTACTGGAGGGTGGAGACTGAACCTTAATGGCCCTTGTGTCCCTCATGCCTAGCAGCAGGGATCAGCACATAGTAGATGCCTAAAAAGTGTTTGATGAATATGAGAGAATGAGAAGGATGACTTTACTGATGAAGAAACTGAGTCCCAGAGATGAAACAGTACTTACTCAGTCCGTGGCCTAACTCAGACCAGAACCAGATCTCCTGACAGCCAGTCAGGCTTGTTTTACACAGAGTTGGTTTACTGCTTTCCAAGAGCATGGCAACTGGGTCCAGAGGGGTACTCCTGGGTGTGAATTAGAGAGAGCCCATGAGATGCCTGAAGCCTTCATTAAAGACAGTTTTGCTTCCACTCTTAATTGGCTGAAGTGATGGTTCATTAGCATTCGCAAGTTTTGTGGCTTGTTGCAGGCCTGAGAGCGATGCTTTTCCACCTTCCATGGACAGAGTGTACTGTTAGCGATAATAGTGGTAGAAAGACCATTTGATTTATGTTAATGTTTCTGTTTAATTACAAGAGCAGTGGTCAGAGAGAGGTCAATACTTCTCTCCACACATTTATTTATGTCATCATCTGCTGTCTCAGGAAGGACTAGCTTGAAGGAGGTCAGTGACCTTGGCCAAAATGCCTCCCCTCTCAGGGCTTTAGATGGACACTGAGATGGTGATGAGGGCTAGATGCCTTCTACATGTGTTCAAGCCCCAGATTTTGTGATTTGGGGACTCCATGATAAAAGATTTCCACCCCTCAGAAATGGTTTCACACTGAAGCTTCAACCCCCAACATTCTCCTAGTGAGAATATGTGATTCTCATTATGAGAGTTGGAGAGCAACTCTAACCACAAACATTAATGCTATTGCTAAAACTGTACAACAAAGAGCCGATTAATCATAAGAATTCACTACTAAAAGCTTTACAGAAAATATTAAAAAAAAATAAAGACTCATAATTGAGAACTTCAAGGTGCCTTAGAGGTCCCCTAGACCAGCCACACTACTCTCTAGAGCAATACTTCTACGGTTTGGCAAGACTTGCCAAGGCATTATGGAGGGAAAAATTCAGAGTTCAGATAAGTTTAGGAAACACAGAGTTAAGCAAAGTTAAATGTGTTCTTTTATAATATGACTTTTCAGAATTTTGAATATGCTTATAAACATAGGGAATATAAGAGGGGAAGTAGTACTCAGTGTTTCCCAAAGATAAGTGAGAGCGGTCCACATCCTCCCTGTAACCAGTGTTAGGGTTTCTGAAACACATTTTGGGAAATGTCACTCCAAGAATTCTGCTTGCCAATCCAATGGCCTGTGAAGCACTCACACACTAATCTCATTTAATCCTCATAATTCTGTGATGGAG